ATGGCCATCCAGCCTCTGCTTAAAAACCTCCAAGTTAGGAGACTCCACTACACTCCAAGGGAGTATGTTCCACTGTTGAACAGCCCTTACTGTCAGGATGTTCCTCCTAATATTGTGGTGGAATCTCTTTTCCTGGAGCTTGCACCCATTGTTCTGGGTCCTAGTCTTTGGAGCAGCAGAAAACAAGTTTGTTTCCTCCTCAATATGACATCCCTTAAAATATTTAAACAAGGCTATCATATCACCTCTTAACCTTCTCTTCTCCAGGCTAAACATACCTGGCTCCCTAAGTTGTTCCTCATAGGGGTTGGTTTCCAGACCCTTCACCATCTTAGTCACCATCCTCTGGACACGCTCCAGCTTCTCAACATCCTTTTTGAATTGTGGTGCTCAGAACTGGACACAGTATTCCAGGTGAGGCCTGACCAAAGCAGAATAGATTGGCACTATTACTTATCTTGATTTAGACACTATACTTTTATTGATGCACCCTAAAATTGCATTAAACTTTTTAGCTGCTGCACCACACTGTTGATTAATGTTCAACTTGTGGTCTACCTTCCCAGTGGGGAAGAAGAGAGAAACTGGGCCATTTTAAAAGGAGCTGAAAATGTGGAAAGATTGAAGATTAATTGGGACTGACCTTGTCAAACAGGGAAAATTGGATGGCCTGCAGCAGGACTGTTTCTCTTTTTATTTTCCCTCCCTGCAGTGTTGGAGACTGCTGGGAATGGTGATACAAAAAAAAAAAAAAAGCAACTTTCCAAACTCTAGTATGAGCAGAAACGAGTGGTAGCCAGTGGAAGATGAGAATGAATCCTTAGCCAGTAAGACTGGTCCCCAGGGATTAGTTAGTTGGAATGTGGAGGAGGAAGGGAGGCCTATCCAATGCTAAATTTTTTCATGCAACACTATAAAGGAAAAGAAAGAGCTTACCTCTTTATTCTGGCCCCTGAATGAGACTTCTAGAGTAGCAGGTCTAGTCTTACAAATACACAAAGGGAGTCAGAAAGTTTGAGGTATTAAGAAAGTGAAGCAAATATTTAGGTGATTAATTTGCCATTAGTGGCTTATCACTTTCATGGGTGGGGAGAGGTGCTAATGGGATTGTCCAGCTCATGTGACAAAATAATTTGGCTGGATTTCAGTACTCTGTACCTTGACATGATGGATGGATGCCAGTTAATGTTATGCCCTTGGCAGATAAAAAAAAAAGAAAAAGAAAAAGAAAAAATGAAAAAAGCTCTGTAGTCTATGGCGATAGCAATCCCACCTGCAGCCTTTTCCCGTTCATCCTGCTCTTTTTCAGGGAATAGGCTATAGGATGCTTATTTTTGTTATTACATACTTTCAAGTTCACTCCAACTGATGGCAACCCAATCCTAGAGTTTTTCTGACATGATCTATATCCCTCTGAGGCTGAGAGAATGTGAATTGTCCAAGGCTACCTTATGGATTCCCTTGGCTAGGTGGGGATTTGAATCTTCTCCCAGAGTCTTAGTCCAACACTCAAACTAGCTCTCTTAACAGTGAAGGGGTTCTGTTTAACAATCATGAGATCCACATTGGTATTAGCTTGGCCAGAAGGCCAATCTAGTTGGAGCCTAGACTAGTATTACCATTTAGTCATTTTGGAGCTGCTTAAGGTTGTTCTCTATATATTTAACAATCAGACATCTGTATTCCATGTCCATGCTGGTAACTATCCAATTGTATGGATAACTCCTTTCTTTCTTTTCCTGGTACGCATACCAAATAAGAACATGAACATAGCCACCAGCAGGATAAAACAGGGCTCTTTGTTCCAAATCACAGAGCTTTGGTCTTCTTTCATTACACTCAAGAAGGCTAGTCTGTGGTTAGCTCTCAGAAGAAAGATAGCCTAGAGGTGGGAAGAGTCACAGACCTTTAGCCTTTTCCTAGGACAAAGGGGATATATTTTCCCCTGCTAAGACAGCTGCACGCAGAAAAGGAAAAATAAAAGGTGGGGTGGAGGGTGGGGGAGAGTTTCAAAATTAAATGAATTGGTCCATGAACAAAAAAGGATACAACTTTTTTTCCAATGGGGAAAGCAATTATATTCTTAATAACTCAAAACTGTCTTCTTTCTCATTCAATCATTTATAGGTCTCCCTCCTCCTCACCATTTGAAACATGAATACAAAGACATGCTTGAAAATCATCCAGTATTTCCAATATGAAAAAGATGCAGAGGTAAAAATCCTTAATAGCATGTGAATGTGCACCATTTTTTCCTTCTATGTCATATTTGGAGGAAAAATGTCTATTTGATTATTAAGTAACAGCCGTGTCTATGCTGAAGGTTTTGGCAATATAAACATCACGAAGGTTTGTAATGGTATGGTAACACTTACCCCTTCTGGTTATGATAAAATAAAAAAAGCTGGTTCTAGTGACATACTGATGATAAAGATAGTAAATAAATGTCATGTAAAACCCTCTTATTAAAAGTATACAAAGCAGTGTGCAATGCAAGAACAAATCCATATAATATTGTATACAAGTAAAAATGCAACAAACAGTTTTTAGAAGCACTGACACAACACTGACAGCCAACACTTACGACCAAAGCCAAAAATAAAAATGTTAACATTCAGGGTTGGAAAATGTTACAGCTCCAAATAGCAACTCATACATTCCACATCCAGTGTCTACAGGAAAAAACATGTTCCTTGTTTTTTGTGAAGGAGACAAACATCCATTTCAGTGTGGACATCATGCTGGAGTACCACAAGCTACTGGGACTTGAACTGGAAATATTTGGATTTATATTGGAAACCCTATCAGGTTCTATAGACTCTAGCTGAACACTTTTAACATTCCTGCTTTTGGAAGCAAGAATAATTAGCAAAGAGCACTGGATGAGTTGTGTAATGTATTGTTCCCTCAGAACAATAGCATTTGCATTGGCTGCTTTGAAATGTAGATAGACACCATGGAGCAAGCATTGAAATGATTTGTTGTTATTTATGATGGCTCAAATATAAAATTTGTTCACAGTTAAAAGACATCTCTGTCTAGTCAACTCACTGCCAACACAGGAAAGTGAATTTGGTACTCAGTAGGAAAGCAGATTTAGGGTACTAACAGTAAAAAAGAATTACTCATATCCTTCAATCAGAGCTGTCAGCAGTTACCATACCAGTTACATTTATGATACATGAACCACAATGGCATTTGGCTTGCTCACTCCTAACTTTGCAGAACTGATGAAGGCCATTCAATAATAAAGTAAATCCTTAAAATCAGTGCATTTAAAATTAGTGGATTTGATGCCAAGAACAGTGGTTAGGACTCCGTGAAACAGGAAGTTTGGAAGTACAGACACTGATGACTAGCAATATGAATATTACATGCACAGCTGAAAAATGTGTGTGAAAATATATCTATTTCAAAAAATATGCTTTATTAACAGAAAACATGGAGTGAATATATACATTGGTGAAAATGTACACAAAATGCTAATGTTGTGGGGGAACACAAAAATGTACAAATTCCAGCATGGCAAAGGGAAAAGGGCTGGCAATGCAATATGGAAATGAGATGAAATGTAAATACCAATGGGATTCTCAGAAAAATAACAAATATAAGTCTGACAGATTTCTCCAACTCTAATTGCAAGTTTTCATCTGTTTAATGTTGGAAGGTCTATTCATAATTTTGAAAACAGAAAGAAATGGGCTGAATTAATAAAAAAGGGGTTCCAAAACCAGGCATGTCTAAGTTGTGACATATCAGTCAGAACAAACCCACTTTAACATGGCCAACAGCAACTCAGCAGAAATTTCTCAGAAATCCATTCTTCTGAGAATTCTGAGAATTTTCTTTGTGGTTTGCATGTATCTGTTGGAAAACCTCTCATCTTCAAGAACAACTCTCACCAATTTCTTCACTGAAGAATTTGAGAAATTGAGTACCTATCAAGGGAGGATGGATAATTTTGGGTAGTCATTTTTTGCTCAGTAACTAGTGCTAAGCAAAAAATTCTTATGGAAATCAAGATGGCCACTTTGAAGAATTTTCTTTGAATAGTCACCCACCATCTATAATGTCCTAGGTGGATAGCTGTTGCTTAAGGCATTGTGAAGGGTGCAAAAGAGTGGCCAACACAGTTGACACTGGTGCCACTTGTAGAGGCCCCAAAACTATTACCAAGACCAAAAAATCACCATAAAACCATTAAACCATCAAGGAAAAAAAAAACTTTCACAATTTTGAGATATCATTTGAGGTATGATAAGTGCTACATAAATGGACAAAATAAATTAATAAGTACCACCCCAACCTCCACTGCTTTGGCCTTGCAGGGAGAGAAGAAGAGGTAGTATCTGTTGGACTTAATTCTTTCACCCACTGCCATCCCCTTTCCTTTTTGTGCCATGTTTTAATTAGATTGTAAGACTGAGGGAAATTGATGTTATTTTGCTTGTAAACAGCAATGTATAGTGATTTATATAAATAAGTGATAATAACAACAAGAAAGACCCCCCCAATGCTTTTGGAGGGGCCTTCTGTTACGCTGGCCATTTTAAGAAGGCCGAGGGTGTGATTGGCTGAGAGGGCAGGAAGTCCCGCCCTTCCTACGGCTCCCACCTAATCGAGGGGATCTCACAAGATCCCCCAGCAACCCATGTAATCTCGTGAAACTACATAGTCTCGCAAGATTTCAGGTGAGATTTAGGGCCTATTTAAGGGCCCTCAGCCACATGGCAGCAGCCATTTCAGGTTTGGTAGCCAAGAGAGCCAGCGTGGCTCAGCGGATCAGCAACCAAGAGAGCCAGCGTGGCTTAGTGGATAGGCGGCAGAGAGAGCTGGTGTGGCTCAGCAGATCGGCAGCCGAGAGAGTCGGCGTGGCTCAACGGATCGGCAGCTGACAGAGCCAGAGTGGCTCAGCGGATCAGCAGCCCAGAGAGCCGCTGTGGCTCAGCGGATCAGTGGCCGAGAGATCTGTATGGCTCAGTGGGTCGGCGGCTGGGGAAGCCAGCATGGCCCAGTGGTTTGTGCATTGGACTGCATCTCTGGAGACGGGAGTTCAATTCTCAGCTGGGAGGCAGGAATTATAATAATACACTATTAGAGAGGACATGCCATGGAGCAAGCCTCAATCCAAGCAGTGCACGGCACCTATGGGATCGGTCAGGGGCCAGTCAGCACCTAAGGGTTCGGCCAAAGCCCAGGGATGTGACAATGAGATTGTGGCCCACCTAGCCCAGTTGGGCCGCACAATGGCAGCATGTGTTGCTGTACGCAAGCAGCTCGCTCCAAGGGGGGTGCAGGTGGGTAACCCTGCAACCCTGGCCCATCCAGCCATAGGCCCTGAGACCACGAGCAAGGTACAGGTGGTGCAGCTGCAAGTCATACAGGTGCAGGAGGTACCCTCATCTGAGCAAGTGACACCTCCCGTATTGTGGTGAACGATACAGCCATGGAGGGCGGGCAGCCAACTGTAGTTGAGGTCATGGAGCTCATGAGAAAGGTTCCTGATTTGGTGCAGCAGGGTGCAGCGGCCTCTGTGTCTGCGCAACCTACATTGGCTGATTTGTACAAGGTGGTACAGCAGGTGGTGTCTTCAGGCCAGGCCCATGGGCCGGCTGCAGAAGCCCCAGAAACAGTGACCAATGTGGTGGGAGGTGCTTCCTCCACCCTGCAGCTGAACAACCGAGCCCCAGTCAGGTCTTATCCAGTTGGGGGTGTTGAAGTGTCAATGGAAACCTCACAACAGCTGGCAGGCTCAGGTATATCTAACTCACCTACTTTCTTGGGATCCTGGCCAACAGCAGTATGGGCACCTGGTGCTCAAGCTGGCCTGGGCAGCGGAGCTGAGAGTTTCACTGGGCACATCCTCAGCGGTGGCTGGGGTAATTCAAACTCAGGTGGCAGGGGTCCAGATGGAGCAGCCCCTGGTTGGCAAGGTAGATGCAGCCAAAGGAGCTGATATATTGGGGGCCTTAGGTCAGCTAGGGGTGGAAAGGTCAGATGATTGTAACCCTTACACGGGCATGTCCACTCCTCTAGGCTCCCACTCGCAATGAAGGAGTGGATTTGGAAGGGTCAGTTCATTGACCTTTTTTCATTGACTTTCTGGGACCCTGAACTGAGACTTATGGTAAAAGATGGACTGGTATTTAGTCTCCCTAAAGAGTTTGAGGCCCACAAGCACCCGAAGTTGTAGGGGAATTTTGTGAATTGGATAATGGGGTTTATGAATTATAGGGGACTGATTGAGGAGAAGGAACCTCTAAGGCAGGGGTAGGCAACCTTTCCCTTTTAAGGGCTGAGGGAC